ACCTTGACCTTACAAAATACGCTTCAAAATCAGGAAAAGAAAAAGGTTTCACACTTAAAATTTGTGCCACATTGGAAAGGACTGGGAGAGAAATAGAGTATCAGGGTCAAAAGGGACCTTCTTAAAAGCTGTTTGGTTTATGCTCTTCATTTTTTTTTTGGCGAGGCAATTGGGGTTTAAGTGACTTGCCCAGAGTCACATGGCTAGGAAGTGTTACGTGTCTGAGGCCAGATTTGAACTCAGGTCCTCCTGACTCCAGAGCCAGTGCTCTATCCACTATACCAATCTAGCTGCCCCTGTCCTTTTCATTTTACATATGAGGAATTAAGGCCCTGAGAAGAGACATGATTTGTCCAGGTTCACAAAGTCGGTTAGTTCTCACATAGGGAGCACATTAACTGAAATCTAATGTACTCTCTGTGACTTTGGATAGTCATCTTTCTAGGCCTGTTTTCTGTAAAATGAAAGCTACAGAATCTAAATATTTTTATCTTCTTCCCTTCCCTCATGGAGGGATTATCTCCCCACCTTCCCAGTCCTAGGGATCCCCATGGCCGCTTCTTTGGGTTCCCAGAGGCAGAAACGAAGGGAATTGGATGCCCGACGAAGTAAGTGCAGAATCAGGCTGGGTGGCCACATGGAACAATGGTGTCTTCTCAAGAAGCAACTCGGTTTCTCCCTGCATTCCCAGCTTGCCAAGTTCCTGCTTGATAGGTCAGGAGGATCTCTGTTGGTCTATATAGAATACTGTGGGAGGGATCTGCAGTAGAGGTGTAAAGTATGTGTGTGGGTGGGGGGGGAGGCAGAAGAGGAATGAATTTGGATAAGGCTGGTAAGAGTTTGGTATTATTGGCACTTTTTTTAAATAAAAGTTTATTTTATTGAACTATTTATACACAGCATTGCATCCTGTTTTTCTTGTGTTAAGCTTGTCTCCTCAACTAGACTATAAGCTCCTTGGGGGCAGGGAACATTTCTTATGTCTTTATCCTCCCCAGGGCCTACCACCTACCGTGGTGCTGCTGTACAGGTGGTAGATGCTCAATAAATACTTGATTGACTTGAAATAAGGAGCTCACCTGACTCTTACCTCCTTTCCTTTGGCAGGTACAATTCTCCAGGCTGTGTGCTCTGTGCAGGTAGGTAGGGTAGAGTGAAGTCAGAGAAAGGAAAATATGTGGCGTGATAGAGACCCAAAGCTTTTACTAGGGTTGGGTTAGCAGCCACAGGAAACAACCAACAAACTGTACTCAGCAGCCAGAGTTAATTAAAAGCTCTAGTTAATTAAAATTAGTAGGTTGTATGTAAGTTTAAAGGGGATCTGCCTGAAGGGGATTCAAACATGTCTGAACTATATATAGTAGAAAAACAACTACTAGCTAAATTAGGAATCAGGATTAGGGTTTGAATTTTGACATTGGTTAAATTACCTTAACCTTTCTGAGTTTATGTTAATACTCATCTGTGAGATAAGGGGTTTGAACTTGATGACCTCTAAGGTCCTTTCCAGCTCTGAATCTATTATCCTGAGAAGAGAAGAGGAAAAGTGACCTGGGGAGCCAGGTAATTTGTGCTAATTTTACCATAAATGATCATTTAGATAAAATGGATGGGAGACTCCAGAAATGTTTTGTAGGGAGTGAAGGTAGTAGAGAATAGCATTCGTTGTAAAATATGGGCTCTCTGGAGGGTTCAGGGATAGGAGAGGGAGAGAGGGGAAGACTCTATGGTTAATATCAATTTCTCCTTTCCAGGCCCTGAGCCATCCCCCCCAGAGGGTCTCCAGTATCTGGTATTCTTGTCCCATGCCCACAGCCGTGAATGCAGCCTGGTACCAGGGCTTCGGGGACCAGGAAGCACAGATGGGGGGCTCATATGGGAGTGTTCAGCTGGTCATACCTTTTCCTGGGACCCATCCTCTGGCCCTGCACCCCTAGGATCCAGTCCTTCCTACATCCAGCACTCAGCACTAAGGAACTGGTGGACAAAGTCAAGGAGCTGGCAAGAACATGAAGGTGAACTGGGAAGAGGGGAAAGGGGCGGTGGGGGAGATCTCTCCTCTTCTCAGCATTGGACTCTTCTTCAGTTCCCCTCCTAGCACTTCTGTTGCCTCATCCTAGTTCTCTAATTTGTTTCCTGCCCCCCAATTTATCTTCTACTTTGATTCCTCCCACTCCCTTTGGCTCAACCCATTCCCTCCTGACCTCAGTGATTCTCCTCTTTGACCTCCACCTCCTTGATGACCATTTCATCTTTTTCATTTCAACTCTGACTTCTCTCCCTGTTTCATCCCACCCCCATCCCCAGCCCAGGTAACTGAGCACTATGACGAGACCCAAGAGTCTGGGATGCCCAGGTAAGTCCATGAAGAACTGGGGCCAGATTAGGAATGGAGGGGGTGGGGGAAAGGGTGTGAGAGATGATTAGGCTAGATTAGGAAAAAAATGAAGTGTGGGGGGGAATGAGTCCAGCCTTGACACCCCTTGGGAATGCAGGGGGGTGGCACCCCTACCTGAGACTTCCCTGTCCCATGGAGAAGACGAGGAAGAAGTAGAGGAAGAAGCCGATGATGAAGATGATAATCTCAGTGATGTCAGCCCTTGGACCTACAGCCCCTCTCCAGATTGGTAAATGCTGGATGAGAAGACAGGAATGAAGATTAGTAACTTGGGCAGACCTGGAGAAACCAGGGATGAGAGTTGACAAAGGAGTGAAGATATTTAAGATTTAAGGTCTAGGAAGGCAATGAAGAGAGAAGTTCTGTATTGGAAAGAGTAGGAGGAAGGTTAAGATGGTTGTCTGGAAGTAGAGGGCTTGAATGATAAGGAAAATTTGAGGAGAAAAGCTTATCGGAACTCTTGTGGGAATGAAATCAAAGTTTGGCAGTAGAGGTTGATGGTAGGGGTGAGAAAAGGTACTGGAAGAATGTTGGAGGTGGCGTGGGGCTGATGGGCTGATCAGAGACTGAGGCGGGTAGGAGTGGGGGTCTGATATTCCAAGTTTAGGATTCTGATACTCAGTGTGTAAAAAAAAGAGGCACGTGATGGGGTTTAGGTGACAGAGAGTGGTTAGTCATCTGATATCAGTCAGCAAGCATTTATTAAGTGCCTGCTATGTGTGCCAGGCACTGTGCTGAGTGATTGTCCCTTCCCTACCAGTGAACCAGATACATCTAGTCCCCTTCCACCTTACCTCCCCCCACTCAAAGAAGAAGAAATAACACCTCCACTCTCAAGTTCCCCCACTGCTGATTCATCAGAAACTGGAACACCCCATCCTGAAGATGACAGAGTACAGCCTGAGCTAGACAGAATACCCAAGTTGGGCCAAGGGAGCAAGACCCGACCCAGGTAAAATAGGCAGTAAACAAGGGAGGGCATTCTGGCAAGCCTCCCTTCCTGTGGAGCCTCCAGTGAAGGGCTGGAATAGATAACTTCTTCCTCATTTCTACCTCTGGAAACCTGTGATTCTTTGCTCCCCATCTCCCATCCCTCTTTATTCTCAAAGCAGACGACGACAACAAGGACCTCCTCCCATGCCTCTGGATGAGGACATAGCACAGATTGGTCCCAAGAGGATCAGGTAAGATTGATGAGGCTTGGGGATAGAGGGAGAAAGGTAGGGGTGATAGTATAGAGAGCCTTGGAAAACCTCATTTTCCTGCCTTGTCTTCCTTCAGAAAGGCTGCTAAAAGAGAGCTCCTTCCCTGTGATTTTCCTGGCTGTGGGAAGATCTTCTCCAACCGACAATACCTGAATGTGAGGCATAGAGAATGGGATGCTGAGTGGGAGATGGGATGGAATGGTTTGGGGAGAATGGGGTTAGGGGATTAGGGTTTGGGATTGAGAGGAGGACACCAGGAAAGGAGAAATACCAAGATTTTAAAAGCTTAATAACAACACTATATAATAGTTGTATTGCACTCACAGGTTTACAGGGTGCTTTACATGTAATATTATTTGGTCCTTACAAAAACCCTGTGAGAAAGGTGCTATTATTACACATTTTATAGATGAAGAAACAGATTTGAAGAAGTTAAGTGACTTTGTCCATTGCTACATAGTTAGCATCAGAGGTGGAATTTCACCTCAAGTCTTCCTGACTCCTACCAGCATTCTAGTCACTCTGCCACACTGCCTTTGGGAAGCACTAGACTAGGAATCAGATCTCTGTTTGAACCAGGAATGTGCTATTTACTGTGTGACCCCCCAGGGAAGTTAATGTATCTCTCTGGATACACTTCTTTATTTATATGAAAAGGAGTTATATGAGATTATTTGAATTCTGTGATTCTATATCAACAAACAGACTTTGTGGAAACAGGCAGAAAATCTAAGCCAAAAACATAAAATGTTTCAGTATCATTTCTCAAAGCTATAAGCAAGTGAAATACCTTAGGATTTGGTGGGAAAAAGAATACCGATGTCCTGTGATATGTCACTATAGAAATCCCATAGAGATGGGCAAATGGGAAGTAGTATTATATGTAAACGATATCATAAATAATAATAGGGTTAACATCTAAATCAGGGGTTCTTAACCTGGAATTTGTAAACTCGTTTTTTAATATAGCTAACATTTATGTAGTACTTTAAGGTTTTCAAAGAGCTATACAAGTATCATCTCATTTTGTAATATTTAGATAACTATTTCAATATAACTGGTTTCCTTACAGAGTTCCTTTGTAAACCTATGTTTTTTATTTTATTAATTTAAAAATGCAACAATAAGGGGTCCATAGGCTTCATCAAACTGTAAAAGGGATCTAAAACACAAGAAAGGTTAAGAACCCCAGATCTAAATGGATAAAAATAATCAGTGGAATCTCTGTGGGTGGAAATTCCATACATAAAATACGAGGCAGAGACCATGTTTTATGTGAAGGTAGTCAATGGCTAAGGTGAATTTAAGCTTATCTTCAAAATATTTTATTTCAGAGACATGAAAACTTCATTGCCAACTTTGGATTGCAAAAATAATAAGTGTATTTAGACAGTAAGGAGGGTCTGTAATAAGGTGTAGATTATAATAAATATAAAAAAAAGAAGACTCCCTGTTATTTATTAATGTCCTCCTACTTTTTTCCCTCTATAGCTTTTATATCTCCTACATCACTTAGCAATAGTAGGCATCTGTTCTGGATTCAATATATATTCATTAATTGAGGTATCATTTTGCAGTAGAAAGAGCACTAGCCTGGAAGACAAAATACCTTTTGTCATTAACTAGATATGAGGTCCTTTGGCAAATAAGTCACTTATCATCTCGGGACCTCAGTTTTCTCATTTGACAAATGGGGTAGTTGGACTAAATAATAATAACCCACATTTATAGCACTTTACAATTACAGAACTACAGAATTTGATGAAAGACCTTAGGCCATCAAATGAAAAGTAATCCCCACTATAACATCCTCAATTCAACTTCTGCTTGAAGACCTCCAAGGAAAGAGAACCCACCACCTCTCAAGGCAGCCCATTCCACTTTTACACAGTTCTAATGGTTAGGAAGTTTTTCCAACTTCAAGCCCCCTTGCAACTTCTGCCCATTCATTACTCCATGGTTCTGCTCTCTGGGGCCAAACAGAAGTCAAATCCCTCCTCCACATGACAGTCCTTTAAGTGCTTCTTCCTCTTCCCTAAACTAAATTTGTAACCCCAGTTCCTTCAACTGAAATCCCAAGGAGTTAGGGAGGAGGGTCAGAATAGCCTTGGGTTATTTTCTCAAGTGAGTAATCAAAGGCATTATAGAAGTGCTTGGTTTTCTGCCTGGGGATTTTAAATGTAAAATGCTAACTTGAATTCTATGGGGAAGGGGGAATAAACTCCCAATACACAAAGCTCCTAACAAAGAAGAAAGGCTTTATTTATTAATACAGATATGTATATAAACATATATGCATGTATATATTCTGTAGTCTGCAGAATCACTTTATTTACATTCCTCAGAGAGAGGAAGGGGAGCACTTGTACTTATAAAATCTCTAAGAAACAAAACTGTATCTTTACACACATAATAAGAATATAGAACAGAGATTAGACATTATAGAAAGCAGTGCAGGAGTTCTGTTGGCCCTATCACATAGAATCATAAAATATCATAGCTAAAAGGGGCCTTGGTGACAGTCCAGTTTGTGTGTTTGTCATGTAAAGAAACTGAAGCCCAGATAAGTTATGATTTGCTCTTGGTTATACTCTTTGGTAGCGAACTCTGACCAGGATGAGAAACCAAGCCCTTCAATTCCAAGTCCAGAGCCCCTGCATTCTGTAATCACTATTCCTTGTAGTTCACCTATAGCTACTTCCTGTTCCTGTTCATAGGGATAAGGCAAGAATATTTCCTTTTCTTATGGGCACTAGAATTACAACAGACTAGGAATTAGCCATTTATCAGATCCATCAACCTCACACTTCCTATTCTTATGTTGACAAATGATATAAGCTAAAAACATAAATGATTTCCAAAAGGGGAAGGGAAGAAAATGGAGGTTTTGTTGAAGACATCTCTAAACACAGAAGTTAACATCAAAAAAGACAATCGTGTCCCAAACATCTTTGTTGGTACCACACACAAAATATTGGGTTAGATGGATCATTGCTTTTGCTTAGTAATTCTTACGTCGTTTTAGGGACTGGGAAGAGGAGTAGGGTATGCTGATTGTGAAGGTATGGAGAATTGCAGAATTTTAAATAGTGGGTGTTTGGGAAGAAGTGCTGGGATTCAAAGATACTGAGGAACATGAACTAGGGTGAGATGGGAATCTCTGGTAGGTGGAGCTAGATGAGAGATAGGTTGGATAGAGGTGTCTCAAGGAAGGGCAGAGGGTGAGATTTAGTATAGAGAATTATGTATAAGCTGGAGAGGATTAATAGAGACCTGGTCCAGGGTTGTGTGTGATAGGATAGGTAGAGAAAGTGAAGATAGGACTTTGGATAAAACTGGGGATAAGGAAGGGAAATTTTCTGTTATTTATATTTAGAGGAGGATTTAGGGGTGGGGTAGTTTGAGAGTCTAGGCTGTGATACTCTATAGTGGGAGAAGTGTGCATGTGTTAGTGTTGAGGGAAGGGTGGTCTACCTCAGGGTTTGATATGGTGGGAACTGGTGGGGAGAGCTATACCTTCTCTTTCCCTCAATCACTATTCATTCTTCCTATGCCCAGCACCATAAAAAGTACCAGCATATCCACCAGAAATCTTTCTCCTGCCCAGAGCCAAGCTGTGGAAAGTCCTTCAATTTTAAGAAGCATCTGAAGGAACATGTGAAACTGCATAGTGGTAAGGACCACTCACTCAATTTGACAAGTAAATGCTTATCAATAAGCTCCTGCTGAGTACCAGGCACAGTGTTAAACACTGGGTACATAAAGTTAAAAAGAAAATAGTCCTTGCCCTCAAGGAGCTTTGGGAAGCCTTCAAGAATGAAATTGGGAGAAATTCTACTGGGGGAAAAAAAACAACATGAATGCAAATAATACAAAATATATATAAATTAAATACAAAGTAGTTTTGGAGTATAGAGTACTAAGAACCTGAGGGATCAGGAATAGCCTTGTGTTGGAGGTGATACTGAGCTGAACCTTGAAGAGCTTCCAAGAAACATAGGCCAGTAGAGTGTTAAATAGGGAGTAATATGAAATCAGTCTGGAAAGAAAGGCTGAATGAGATTGGGAAGGGCTTTAAATGCCAAACAGATAAGTTTGTATTCGGTCCTAGAGGAAATAGGGAGCTACTGCAACTTCTTGAGGAAGGGAATGGTGTGGTCAGATCTGTGCTTTGGGAATAGCAATATTATTATATAAGGAGGCAAATGATGACAGGAAAAACCTTCCTAAGAGAGATATCCAAAAGTGGAATGGGATCCATTAGAAGCCTTCAAAAGATCATTTGTGGTGTGTTTTTCCCATTCTCAATGATCTTTCAGAGGTCACAGGCAGAGGCTTAGAAGCATATCTGCCAATTCTTTCAGTATTTGTAGGTGTAGTTCTTCTGTACCAGGGTGTCTGTGCACTCTCTTACTTATTTAGGGTATTAACTTTCTATTGGCCATTTTTGTTTTGTCCTTTCAAATCCAAAGATTATTTTGCTTGGCAGAGAAAACAGAAGGAAAACAAGGTTGAGCAGCTCTTGCCTTTTCTCTATCAGTTATTATCCTAATTTATTTTGTCCTTTCTTTGATTCTCTTTGCTTTTCATTCATTTTCCCCAATATAGCTAAAAATAAAAACAAGAAAAACTTTTTTGTTGTCCTTACTTTCCTAAGCTTTCACTCACACTGAGAACTATGCCATGCTTTTGAATCCACCCTCTTTTACCTGTCCTTGCTGTACATTAAAATATCAGTTGGAATATATACTTGAATAAACATATTAGTCTTTTTAAACAATTCCCCTTTTCTCATGGGAATTTTCTTTTTTTTTTTACTTCAAATTTCATTCTTGAGGGCTTCCCACATTTCCTGGTCTGACTTCTGTAGAATTACAGACCATGCAGTCCTTTCTCTGAATCCTTTGAAATTTATCCTAAAAATCTCTACTAAACATCAGACTATTTCTGGTTTTACTCTTCTCTATCACAGACTCTGAGATATAAGTAGTCACTTCTCTGAAGGTTCCCACAGTTTCCACATCAGTTCCTTGTTTGGTGAAATCAAATCTAGAATAGAATAGAATTTCCCTGTGTTGGCTTCTTTACTTTATGAACGATGAAACTATCATTAAGGTACATTAAAATTCCACGAGATGTCTGTATAATTGAAGGGACATCCCCCTTCACCTATATGTGATGACTTTGTGCCAGACCCGTAATCTGTTTTCCAGTCTTTTCATCTACAGCTTTTTGTCCTTGTGGTCTGTGGTATGCTCTGATGATAGTGTTATTTCTCTTTCTTCTCCACTGATTTTTACTCATGTTTTCTACCATGTTGTTCCACACTGGTTCTTGTATTTCCATACATGAGTGTATTTTATGATATACAATACATAATTAATATATAACACAATATATAATTTTCCAGTGTCCCCTTCACTACTAGTCCCTGCTATACTACCCACTTCAAGTATCTATGTCTAGTTCTTCAGTTCCCAGTTTTTCCTTTCATTTCATACCAACCCCCAAACCACCCCATTTCCTCTACTTTAGTTTCCTTTCTAGTACCTAAATATCCATATAAATCCTAGTGTCTCCCTGCCTAGCATTCTCTCTTATCAGGAATCTAGTATCTTTTCTCTCTACCTACTGGGCCTTCACAAAGAAAGAAATACAGATGGCTGTATTTCAGGACAGGATAGGCAGAAGACACTAAGGGACCCTTCTTTTCCCCTGGAAGCTGAGGGGACAAGAAGGGTGTAGGGAATGATAATGATCTAGAAATTTACTCATGTTGAGTCCTTTATATTTTTTCAAGTACTTTCTCACCTCCTTAGACTCTCAAAACAACCATTTTTGGTAGGAAAAGTCCCTTTTTGAAAATTAAGGAAACGGATTTTCAGAGCAGTAAATTACTTGTCTGTGTTAGCATAGTTAAGAGCCAAGACTGTAACTGGAATTCCTTCAGCCAATAGTCTTTTCCTCTGAAGTTTCTCTGTAGCAGAATGAGAGGTATGGCTAGAGTAAATATAGAGCAATGTGGACAGATTCTGGGATGTCTCCTTTTGTGCTTTCAGATACTAGAGACTACATTTGTGAGTTCTGTGCCCGCTCCTTTAGAACCAGCAGCAACCTCATCATCCACCGGCGTATCCATACCGGGGAAAAACCATTACAGTGAGTAGAAAGGGTTGAGGTGAAGAGTGTGACGTACATGAGTCCTTGAAGGAACTGGAATCAAGATACCAGAATTCTGGGAGAAGAGAACTAGAGCTGGGGTCAAATGGAGAGACCTAGGGGCTGGAAGATAGGGGAAAGAAACTGGAGCTGTCAGCCTCAAGAAAGGATGAGGAAGGGGCAGCTAGGTGGCACAATGGATGAAGCACTGGCCGTGAAGTCAGTAGGACCTGAGTTCAAATCTGGCCTCAGACACAAAACACTCACTAGCTGTGTGACCCTGGGCAAGTCACTTAACCCCAATTGCCTCACCAAAACAAAACAACAAACAGATGAACAAGAAAGGCCAAGGAAGAGGTAGGTACTTGAAGGAAGGATGCTAGGGTCCAATCTATTCTAGCAATCATTTAAGCACTTATTATGCAAAAGGCACTAAACTGTGAGCTGGTAATACAAAGACAAAATGAAAAATAAGGAGAAAAAATATTGGGGAAGACAGAAAAAGCATATATTAAGCATTTACTATTTGGCAGCCATAGTGCCAAGTGCTGGGCATACAAAAACAAGCAAGTAAGAAGACCCTGTTCCCCAGCAGAGACCTGGTCAAAAGGGCAAAAGTTTAACTGTTAGAACCAAGGGTAGTGCCCGGGACAGGCTCTGATGAGTGGTATCTCACAACAATGATGCCTGGACTCTGAATAGGAATAAGAACTTGGGCCAAATGTGAGGATACCTGTATCCCTGCATCCCCAGAATTCTTGAGGGGAAGGACCACTTGGGAAATGTTAAAGGCTAAAGGAATGTGTAGGTAGCAGAAAACATCTGTTCTTTGAGGGGAGATGGTTAGGACCAAGGAGGGGCTTAGGATAATTTGGTTTTAGGATGACCTGGAGGATTAAGACTGGGTACAATGCTAATGTTTTGAAGGGTTGGTGGAATTGGGGGATGTGCAGTCTAATTCCTGACCCCTCTCTCCCTGACTGCAGGTGTGAGATCTGTGGCTTTACCTGCCGCCAGAAAGCCTCTCTGAACTGGCATCGACGCAAGCATGAGGAGGCTGCAGCAGCTTTCCAATATCCCTGTGAGTTCTGTGGCAAACGATTTGAGAAGCCTGACAATGTCATTGCCCACTGCAGCAAGAGCCACCCTGCCCATCGTCCTGGCCCTGGCTCAAGCCCCACCCTCTCAGAGCCTTACCCTTCACCCACTGTCTCTAGTTCTACTTCTACCATTTTGGAATCTAGCCTTTCATGTGAGTCCCAGAAGTCTCCCCCCTTGGATTCCAGCCCTTCCTCACAGATCCAGAGGAATCAGACGTCAAGGTGTTAGGAAGCAAAGTGGAAAGTGGGGTGGGGAAAGGTAAGAAGGCTTTCAGGGTGACAGTATAAGTACATTGGTGCCAGTCATACCTTTAAGGGGAGTTAGAGGACTGGATTGCCTTGCTTCCTACTGCTAAGAATGCAATAAAATGATTATTTTACATATATACTTAGTTGAGATTGAGTTTTTTAATTGTTAGGAAACTGAGCTGTTAGAATTGATTTCCACAGGAAGCTATTTACTGGAGTCCCTTGAAGAAGTGAGGGGTCTTTTTTCTAAATACCCTAAGCCTCAACAACAATCTTACCTGCCACTCATCCCTGTTAGGGGCCCAATTTTCCTTTCAGGACCTACACATTTAGTTTCCAGTTCTTCCCCATATGTCTTTTCAGAATGCCTTCCTTTCTGGAGGAGGTAAAGAAAGGCCCAGAAGAGGGGGAAAATAATAGAAAATCTAGAAAATGGGTTTTGGAAGAGGTAGAAGATGAAGCATTAAGGTATGACTTCAGGAGGTACTTTAGGGGGCTGTAAAGCAGGAAATGGGAGAAGGTTGACCAAAAGTGTACAGCTTCTCTCTCCCAAGGACATTTGTTGGTTTGAGAGAATGGTGTTAGTCTAGGCTATGGGAAAGAATGTCTGATGTCAAGAAAGTTCTTTAAACACTTAAGTGTGCGCATAACTTATACTTTAAATTCCTATAGATTTCAATAACCAAGGCTTGAGGCATCAGGAACAAAAAAACAACAACATTTATTCTAATTACCAATTACAGGGAGAAAGGGATGTCTAGGGGTTTCTTCTGGTTTTCTCCATTTTTGTCCCTCTATCCTCTTCAGTCTCATTAAGGATAAAGACTGGCTGCCAAGATGCCACCAAATTAGCCTTGCAAATTACAAACACTTCCATGCTCCAGTGGGGAATCATAACTGAAATATATGATAAATTCTTGGCTTATCCACCTTCCTCTTAATACATGAGGGACCCCAGCTATCAATCTTGGGAGTGCAGGAGTTGAGTGTGCCAACACATAGTATTTTGACTGAACCAGGATTCTTGAGGGGAAGGAGTATTGTTTGCAAGGAACCTCATGCAAAGAACCTTTATCCCTTCCCTTCAATTTTATTGGTATAAGGCTATTTCTGACATGCACTGGTTTGTACTATTTTGCCATGTGGGAATATTTTGGAGGTCTCTTTCCAGGTCTTTTATATTTTCACACCTACCCTTCTCATCCCTTGTATTTCACGCACACCTCATTCTCTCAATTTTCTCTTTCCATTAACCCCACAGAAATAGAGAGACCAATATACATGGAAATAGGGAAAAAGAAAGAGAGCAGAGATAAGAGAAATATAGAAGAGGGGTAAGAAAAGACAGAAAGCAAAAGAAAACCAGGCATCAAGGACAATTGGAGACATAGGAATTCTGAGAGGTGAGAAAAGACAGAATGAAATAAACATAAAGATGTAGACAGAAAAAGGAGATGAGGCATAGACAAAGAGGAAACAAACAGGCCAAGGTAAAAAACACTGTCCTTTAATAATGTGACTGGGATCTCTCTCCCATCCAAGCAGAGAGGGTTAATTCAACCTAACTTCCACTACATCCACTGATACCTATACTACTACAGAGAGATAATTCAGATAGGAATATGAGGAAGTGTAAAGATACTAGAAGTGTGGCAAAGTACATACCCAGAAAAAGAAAGGTGACAAATAAGACAAACATTGGGATACAGAAAACTAAAAAAGGAAGACTAATAGCAAATGAGGAAAGAGACTGAGAATGCAGTGAAAGAAGATATACACAGGAAGGACAGGAGAAGGCAGAGAAAACTCAGACCCACTACTATCTTTTCCCATTATTTAGTCAAAACTTTTCCCCAGACTTCCTTTTGGGAGGGTAGAGAGAAAGTGATTTAGTGTTTTTTACTTAGGAACCTCAGTACCTCTCTCCTACTCCTGTCACCCTCAGGCCTGACTTCTCTTGGCCAGAGTCTACTGAAAAGATCAGGGTAGGTGCTATCCCAACCAACCCACCTGCAGTGGCTCCTGCAGCGGCCCTGGCACGAGCATGGGCCCTCTGGTGCTGTGACAGTGATCGGCTATGGCTAAAGCACTTCCCACATTCAGCACACTCTGAGGGGCGTTCACCCTGGTGGGTCTTTCGGTGCAGCGCCAGTTTGGAGCCAACACTGAAACACTTGCCACATTCAGGGCACTTGTGAGGCTTGTCACCAGCGTGGTTCCTCTTGTGAACATTTAAGTTGGAAATACATGTGAAGAACTTGCCACACTCCTCACATCGATATGGCTTTTCCCCTGTGTGGGTACGCTTGTGCTTTGTGAGGTCTGAGCGATCACTGAACCGTCGGCCACACTCTTGGCAAGGAAAGGGCTTTTCCCCAGTATGAATCCTTTGGTGAACAATCAGGTCTGACCGTTGCCCAAAGCTCTTGCCACAGGTGGTACACTGGTGTGGTTTCTCTCCCTTATGGCTTCTCCGGTGCCTCATTAGTGTGGAACTTTCACTGAACTTCCGCCCACAGTCTGGGCAGGCATAAGGCTTCTCCCCTGTGTGAATTCGGTGGTGTCGTACCAGGGTGGCACTCTCTGTAAAGCACTTTCCACACTCAGGACACTTGAATGGTTTTTCCCCTGTGTGTGTCTGCCGGTGTCGTGTCAGGGTTGAGCTTTTACTAAAGCTCTTTCCACACACGTTGCACCGGTGGGTTCGGGTCATCCCATGTGTCTCCTGGTGAGCCTGGAGCTCTGATGCCCGCCTAAAGACTTCTCCACACACAAGGCACTTGTGGGCTCCCTCCAGCTTGGCTCCACTACTTCTCTGACTGTGGCTTCGCTTCTGGTGTGCAGAGAGCTGTTCCCCATTGTCAAATGCCCTTCCACACTGACTGCACTTACAGGGCTTTCCAGCCTCATGGACACGATGATGTTTCAGCAGACCTGAACTACTTCGGAAGTCCCGATGGCACTCGCTACACTGATAGGATTTTTCCTCAGGGTGCAATGGGGCAGGTAGGATAGGCCCTGTATGAACAGTAAACCTATCTCCACTGGCTTCTGGGCCTTTAGGAAGCTCACCTGCAGTGAGAGCATTAGAACCACTATGGGTCCTCTCATAGTGGAAGACATAGGCACTCTGACGGAAATTTTTTCCACAGACAGGGCATCGGTAAGGCCTTTCACGAGGGTGATGTCGCTGGTGACAGTAGAGGGCAGAACGATAGGGAAAGCGTTTCCCACAGGCATGGCATTTGCAGGGCCTGCCTCGAGTATGGGTACTCTGGTGCAGATCTAGATAGACACTTTGATGGAAGCTCTTTCCGCACTCATTGCAGATATAGAGAGTCTCACCAGCATGTGTGCGCTGGTGGGCCCTAAGCTCTGCATTTTGTGCAAAACCCTTACCACACTCTAGGCATCGGTAGCAGCAATCCCCGGCATGTGTGCGCTGGTGGAGGTGCAGCACTGAACTGTAGCGGAAGCTCTTGTTACACTCAATGCATTTATAGGGCTTCCCTGCTCCATACATGGCTGGAAAGGGATGGGTAGAATACCAGGAAACAAATGATTTCTGTAACTGGATTCTGGAGGAAAGGGGGTCGGCCAGTTAGAGGAGGTATGTGGGGGATACTTTCCTCTGCACTCTGAGGGGTGAGTGCTAGTAGTGTTCTTTCCTCCAACACTGAACTTTCTGGTGGTAGGGAACCTGAGGAAGTGGAATGTTCTGTGTAAGCTTTTTCCTGGTTGCCTAAAAGCAGAGATGATAATTGGGTAGGGATAGATGTAAACTTTCCTTGCTTTCTGGAGGGACTGTGGACAAGAATGATATTCTCCTGATAAACTTAATTTTCTTCTTAGCTGAAAGGTATTTGTCCACTTGGAAACTCTTCTGCTTGGAATCTTTATTTTCTTTCTATCATTGTCAGCTGCCGCGGTTGTTCTTTCATGGATTTTCTTCCCTATAAGGCTTCGGGGGTGAACTGGTGTACCCTGGAGAAGAATGAGAGAATCTAGCTCAACAGTGCAAACTAATACATAGGTGCTGAGGGACATGGATTAAAAGTGAAATTAAACTTCCTTGAGATGTGTTTTGATAAAAGTTAGGAAGGCAAACTATAGCTCCAAACTGGACCCAGCATAGTGAATATATTCCTATTGAATACAGGCAATATAAGGGTAACATGGCAGACTTGGATACACTAACTATAGGAGTGTAGCCAAATCTCTCTTAATTTTTGACTCTTTTTTTAAAAAAATTATTAAATGTGAATAATGTCCTCTGCAGCTCAAATGATATAACATGTTTTGTATAAGTATTAAAGCACTATATCAAAAGCAGTTGTTATTATTAACAGGAGGCAAATTAAAAATCTGTTTATAATTTAGGAGATGCTTCATCATCCTTCAGTCATCTTACTGATGAGCCTCTCTAATTTAGTTAGGCTAGGACAAGGCTAAGCTTGAAGCCCTTCCATGCTGGCACAACCTGTCAAGCTTTCTTCTATCATTCCTTTGAGAGTCCAGAGTCCACACTATAAATAATAAGATATTTGAATAAAGCTTCTGTAGAGTTGTATTGCTATAACTCAAATTATATTTATTTTAATTAGATTTATTTATTTTAAACTCAGCTGATTCAAGCTTAACTTCAGATCATATTAAGAAATTTAACCCAAAGCAAATAGATGCTCAAAATTGTGAATTTCATGGACAATTTCATGTATTTATATTCACCTCTAAATTATCCATGGATGAATCAATGAAAAAATTTTTACTTGGTTAACTTCTCCTAGCAGCATGCTAGTTTGATTCCCCATAATACTCCATTTGGGTCCTAACCCTAAATTATGCTCTTGATTCAAAGACTCATTGAATTTTAGAGCTGGAATGGACCATCTGGTCTACCACCTTACTTCCCCTACTCCCTCCAACCCCTATCCATTCATTTTATAAATAAGCAAAAAGAGACCAGAGATGCTATGACTTGCCCCGTCAGCTAGCCCCACTCCCACAGAACCCCTGAGTGAAGGATGGCCATATAGCCAATATATAGCAGTTTGGATTAGTCTTGTCCCAGCTCCTTTATCTCTCAGTTCCTCAGGTCTGAACCAGGCTGGAATTCTATGAGAATGTACAAAAAGGCATGTGCCTTAGAAAATAATCTGAAAAAACAAATAAGCACACAAATTCATTCAAACCAAATATAATTTCTAAAATATCCTAACTTTTGCTTCCTTAAATTAATGTGAATAATCTAGTGGTGATTATTATAGAAAAATTTAATTAATTTGGAACAAACTGGGTGACAGATGAAGAATTATCTGGTTAAGATTAAATTTTTTTATTATTTTAAAAGATGTACATTTGTTACTTGGGAATATTGTACATATAAACTAAGATATAATGGCACTATTAAGTAAATAAAGTATGTTTTTTAAAATGTAATATCCCATTTATAATGGGCTTACAACAAAACCCTAAGTTTTACTACTTTTCTAGTCTTTTCCTTAACAGGCAAATCATATCTTATAATGAGATTTTAAAATGTATATATAAGATTTTATTATATTTGTGAAAAGTTAGTTTGAAGTTAAATTATTTCCCTTTTTTTCCAAGTTGCAGCACTTTTACTTTCCTGCTTTAGGCTCAGAGGCCGGTGCTTAATAGTTTATTGACTAAGCATGGATTAAGCATGCCTCTGGCCCCTTTGATTAAGTTAAAATGTTTTTCATGTTAATTATTTCCTGTGCTTTCATAAAATCCCTGAGAGGTGGAAGAAAGGGTCCAGAGACTTAGGGTGAATATTCTAGAAAAGTTATTTATTGGAATGATAACTAGATCTGGCTCTGAAGACGTATGTGAATAAAAGAAGGCTAGAAATACAGCAGGTTTAGGACATTTTGAAGGATGTTTCATACTAGGTTGTTAAGAAATGACTGAAATAGGAATAAAGTCTAATTCACAGCACAGTCTTGGGGGACTTTTTATAACAGGAGATTTATAATCCGAAACCCTAAAGGATTGTGGTTAATTTTACTCAAAAGAAAGGGGCAGATGCAGTGATTTTTCAAGTTTTCTCATCCTTACATTCCCAGAGAAAGAGAAATGAAACGGGGGGAGGAGTAAGAATACAGTCCCTTAATTACCAATTTGATCTCTATTTCCTGGATTCTTCACATCCTCTTCTCTAACACTTTTCTTTGCAATCACAGTTGACTCCTACCCAGAGGTGAAGAGGCAGAATGCCCCAGTAATTAATTTGGAAGATTTACATTTTTTGGTGAGGAAAAATGAATCTTGAATGCCTGGAAATAATGGAGATTTATTGTACTTTCCTAGGATTTTTGGTAAAAGGTAAATAGGAGTTGAAGTTCATTTACATCTCCTCTTTTCCAGCTTACCTCAATTCACTTCAACATTTGAACTATAAATAACTATAAGGCACTTTCTCACTATCGATATTCTCTATGAAGGGTAAAAAAAAATCTCAAAAGAATTCAGTTGAATTCCCTGCTAAGAATTAAGAGGAGAAAATGGGATACAGTGAGAAATACATCTCCAGTTTCATTTTTTTTTTATGTGCCTAGTTGTGTTGTACCTGAGCTTTTTAATCTTATGGACTTGGAGGTAGTCCTCAAGCTGTATTATAATTTTACAAATTTCCCTCCCCCACTCTCTTCCTTTCTTCAGACCAAAGGGGCTGCTTAGGAATGTGAGGGTGTCGGATTGTTTTTCATCTCTTTTAGTTCCCTCCCCTCTATCCCTAATGCCCCCGCCTCCCACCCCCAGGAAAAAAACAAAAACAAAACAACTCACCGGTGCAATTAGTAAGGCCCAACTTTGATGACAAGTGGTCTTGGGGTGGGACCAGATAAGGAGAAGGGAAGGGAATAAGAGAGTCACTGCTTAGTGCCTCTTTGACTCCTTGTCTCGATGTCCTCAGTGTCCAGAACAGGAAGTCTCTAGCAGGAGCTCCTTCCTGTCGGACAGTCTGGGGCCGCTCTAGGATATGGGACTTTATAGGATCTCAGACACCTTAACCCTTTGCAGCCCTGGACTAGAGAGCAATAAAAAGGCCTAGATGGGTTGAGAATTTGAGGGTAAGTTTAAAGGAGGGGCAAAAGAGGGAATAGAAAACTGGACTGTGGATGCTGCAGAATTTTTTTAAATCTTGGGTGCCACTGAATAGTGGCTCTCAAACCAGACAGTTTGAGAGAAAAGAAAGGGATTTAGGAAAAGGGAATTTTTCCTTAACATCCCCATGCTACTCGCCTCCTCCAACCTAAACTATAATTAGGGAAACGCTAAAGATTCAAACTGTAACTTTCCCAATTTTAAAGTTCAAATCCTACAAAGATTAAGAAGCTCATTCCTCCCAACCAATGGCTAGAGAGCTGGGGGTGCAAATACTTAATGCTTAATAAAAAGCAACAGATTCTGTTTGCCTATTCCCATTTACCTCAAACCCAAAGTTAAATGCTTATCTTGGGGTAGGATCATTTGTGGAATTTAGAGGACTTGAATATATCATTTGTTTAATTTTCCAACAAAGCCAGGTCTTACAGACTCTTCCAAATCTCTCTCTTGCCCTCTTTGGTTGCAGAACCAGTCTGGTATCTTTAAAGAAGTTAGTGTGTTGGAAATGGGAGAATAGTCTTCCCTTTTCTCCCTAACCCCCAACTTGCCCCCTTCAAATACCTTTTAGGGATTTGATAATAAAAATAAATGATCCTAATTTTCCTCCTGGGAGTTTTACCTTAACTCCTCCCAAGAGTTTTTAATAATAGGTAATATTTATATAGCATTTTACATAGATTGTCTTACCAAAACAACCTTCTGAAGTAAATGCTATTATTATCTTCATGTTGCAGATGAAACAGTCTCTGATAGGTTAATCAACTTTTTAGGGTCACACAGCTCGAAAATGTCTAAGGTAGCATTTGAACTTAAGTGACTTCCCTGAGCATCACAACGTTAATAAGTATCAGTGGTGGTTTCCAGGTTCCTTGACAGAAGTCACCACTGTTCAACTGAATCTAGTCCAAAGCCCTCATTTTTGCCTCTGAGATCCTGTCACCCAAAAACTCAGTATCCCCATGGTTGCAAGTGGTAACAGCTGAGTTCAAATCCACACCTTCTGGGTCCAAATACTATCCTCTTTGCACTACACCAGTTGACCTCCCTCCATTATCCTTGTCCCAAATTTTTGGGAACCTCGAAGAAACCTCATCTGCATAATCCCTATGATGTTCATCAGCAGTTCTATTCTTAATAAGTGATTTTTGATAGCCAGAGTCTGCCACCCATTTTTCTTGAATTCAGATGTTCTACTTCCCCCTGGCACGAGAGCAAGAATCTATTATTTACTGAGTAACCACCACAAGTGTTATGCACACAAGAGACCCAATAAATAATTGGGGTATTTTATTGTCGAAGTTGGAGTGGTATTTGACTGGGAGGAAGAGAATTTGAAATTATTTGTTGACTACTTGCTATTGTCTGGAGGTAGGGGGAGGAGATAGGAATCTAATCAAATTCTCCAGAAGTCACTAACAATACTGTATGTTTGCATGGATTTTTACAACACAATCACATCCAAAAACACCTTTAATCTTTCTAACGGCTCTTTCAGGTAGGCAGGACATTCTATTTCAGAGACCCAACTCAGAAAGACTATAAATGATTTAGTCCAAAATCACAAAGCAAGTTAGTGACAAAACTGGGATTAGAAACAGGGCTTCACTTACATGACCCCTCCCTCCAGCCCTTTACCCCACCAAATTCAGTTACTTAAGAAAGTAATGTTGGGGAAAAGGATCAGTTCTCCTTATTCACAAACCATAAAGTTATTAATATTCCCTTGGGTTACTCAGACTCCTGCTCCGTCGTGTGTGTGTGTGTGTGTGTGTGTGTGTGTGTGTGTGTGTGTGTGTGT